GTAAGTCCGCAGACATTCCGCTGTGCCACTGGGGGGGGGGGCGAATAGATGGTGACATAAATAAACAGTAAAATTAACAAGCTCTTAAGAGAAAATATCTTGCATAACCCTAAAATTAAACGAAATTTAATGGTATAATTATTCGAACTGTTATTCTCGTCTTTATTATGTCCATTATTATTTTCACAACGTTTCGACCAGTGAATTATCCGGCCGTCGAAATGTTGTGAAGATAATAATACACATAATAAAGACGATAATAATAATAGTCCGAATAATTCTACCATTAGTAATACTAACACATCGTCTCAATCATTCCGGAAAACGAAAGTTTTCTGAAATAATTAAATTGTCAAGCCACCTATAAACACAAAATGATACATATCGATATTAAGTTGCAAAAGGCGTAACGCCGAAGCAAGCAAAGCATAAAGTGTGTGTGTGTGTTTTTTGTGAAGGAGGGGAGAGGGAGGGGGTAGTGTCTATGAAACATTCCCAAATTGATTGACTGACTTTACAGACGTCACTCGTAAGTGGATGAATGCGGGTAAATTGTCATAAGAATATTTAAAACAACATTCTATCTGCACCTCATCTGTTATAGACCCGCCATCAACGAGATTCTCTGTTCAATCCAGAGTTTCATAGGCCTTACTAGAAACCTTTGTTCTATCGGTCGTTTAAAATACTGTACTTTTCTAGGCTAATAAGTGTGGTGATGCATCAATGTATTGGGGCGATAATTATTTGACTTTAAACTAGCCTTCAGTCGTTAAGATTTTATTTTATTTTTTGTAGCTGCATTAGGCCGGGTTATAGTAACTTGTTCGGTCTTATTGTAATTCTTTTGGAACTAATCAGCCATCGAAAAAAATAATAGTGTATAGAATAAACTTAAGCTAACTTCATATTTTGTCCAAACCAGGAAAGTTAACAAATAAGTATTTAAATCCTAAAAAAAAAAGAGCTCAAACTAAAGCTATGTTAACCCTAGAATTATCGATGAGTTATTACCATCGGCTTTCAAAGCACATTTTCTAAAATATTTATGCACAAATTACCGGTGAATTCCTTTAAAATATGCCCCTCCAGGGGCACAGCGGCATGCCCGCAGACTTACAACGCTAGAAATCGGATTTCTATACGCATGGTGGACAGAGCACAGATATCTCATTGTGTAGCTTTGTGCTTAAGCTACAAACAAACAAATCTTAAAAGTGTTTGAGTCAATAATGATTTTTATAAAAAAAAATACTATTAAATATTGTAAATAATTCCTCTTATTATTGTTGGGGCCGCCTGTATATTTTACATGGAAAATTAAAAAAAAAAAAACGTTGTAACAAAAATACCATTAATATTGCAAATAACCCATCTAACTATTGTTGAGGTCTCCTGAATGTCTTACATAGAAAATCAGGCACACTAAAAGTATTTTAACAAAAATACCGGTAATAATCCCACTAACTACCGATATGTAAGTATGTATCCTACTTAGCAACTATTTAGTTTGGACTCGGCATGACCCATGGTGGTTAGGGCGCATGACTCGCAATCTGAGGGTCGCGGGTTCGAATACCTGTCCCACCAAACATGCTTGCCCAGTGAGCCAGGGGGGCGTTATAAGTGACGGTAAATCCCACTTATGGTTGGTAAAAGTGTAGCCCAAGAGGGTGGATGGTGATGACTAGCTGCCTTCCCTCTAGTTTTTCACTGCTAAATTAGGGACGGCTATCGCAGATAGCCCTCGTGTAGCTTTGCGAGAAATTCACAACAAACCAAACCAATTTATTTGCTAGTCCTTTCTTTTTTTTATTGTGAGTGCTGTAAATAACAAAAACATAAGATACTTAACGCAATATATGTGAGGTCTATCAGCAGAGAATGGTATAAAAACAAGTCAGTAATCTGACGGTTAAAACAATAACTGAGATACTAGTATAAAAACATGTATAAATTAAAAACTTGAATCACAGAGATTTATATAAAGACTTATGATTTATATAGGAATGCCGAAGATTAGCCACTAGGATGTGTATGATGATATACACGAATCATGATAAAGACATTATCTCTTGTGACATAAGAATCGATCCTAGAATAAAATAAAGGAAGCCTGTTATAAATCACGAGAGAAGAAGAAGAAGAAGAAGAAATATTTTGATGTTATCAATCACGAGAGAAGAAGAAGAAGAAGAAATATTTTGATGTTATCAATCACGAGAGAAGAAGAAGAAAAAAGATTTTGATGTTATCAATCACGAGAGAAGAAGAAGAAGAAGAAATATTTTGATGTTATCAATCACGAGAGAAGAAGAAGAAGAAATATTTCGATGTTATCAATCACGAGAGAAGAAGAAGAAGAAATATTTTGATGTTATAAATCACGAGAGAAGAAGAAAAAATATGTTGATGTTATAAATCACGAAAGAAGAAGAAGAAGAAATATTTCGATGTTATCAATCACGAAAGAAGAAGAAATATTTTGATGTTATAAATCACGAGAGAAGAAGAATAAGAAATATTTTGATGTTATCAATCACGAGAGAAGAAGAAGAAGAAATATTTTGATGTTATAAATCACGAGAGAAGAAGAAGAAGAAACATTTTGAAATTAGACAAAAAAAAGTGATTTTTTGCTTGGTGTCCTAGCGGTCACTTTTTTAAAATTAGTTTTACGTGTTACCCATGTCTTGACATCTATGAGTTGAGATATATATAATAAAAAAAAACTTAAAGATGGACATGATGAAAAGTAACATTTACCAGAAACTTTTGTGAGAACATCCTTTGCCATTTAAATTCAATTTCATGAAAAATGACTATCATTTTCTGATTATATCATCAAATCCCGACACGCCTTGACCAATAAAACCAGTTTTGTTTATTGTAACATAAGTTACTTTACTTTTGTTACATTATATTCAGAGTAAAGCCAAGAAGTATCAATATCTCGTAGTTTTTGTTCATTTGACAACTATTACAAATTTATGCGAATTATTCGCGTCATTTCTGCTAAAGATGATATAACTCACTTGAAGGACATAATGATATAACTCATTTGACGGATATAATGATATAACTCATTTGAAGGATATAATGATATAACTCACTTCAAGAATATAATGATATAACTCATTTGAAAGATATAATGATATAACTCATTTGGAAGATATGATGGTATAACTCACTTGACAGATATAATGATATAACTCATTTGGAAGATATGATGGTATAACTTATCAAAAGGATATAATGATATAACTCACTTCAAGAATATAATGATATAACTCACTTCAAGAATATAATGATATAACTCATTTGGAAGATATGATGGTATAACTCACTTGAC